GCAGCTGAAATAGTGATATGTGAAATGAATTATATGAATACATCTAGATCCTCGTACAGAAAATGTGAACTTGAAGTTCAAGTGATAATTCATTTCTAAAATATTTCCAGGCACATTGCTGACCCAAAGCTAAATGTCATATTCCAGCTGCTAATGCTCCAAATAGAATAACGTCCATGATGGATAGAGTTTATGGCACACATGAAGCATAATAGACAAATCGGGTTCCAAAGATTAAAACTCCTTGAAGAAGGAGGGAGCAAATGTTCAAGATGGTCATAATAAGGAGGCAAGTGCTTTATAAGAGCACCATGACATAACATTTTATAAGACCTCATGGGAGAGGCTCAGGTACCTGAAAATAATGAGATCTCGATAAGTTATGTCTTTATTGTGTGATGATGGAACATATGTAAAATGATCGTCGATGATGTTGTTAATATAATGTAGCGCTCAATATTATTAATATTGACGAGGATCTTGAGCTCAAATCTGTCATGGAATTTGGACAGATAAATGATTGGCCAAATGAAAAATATGCAATGAAATTGATTTCACCTGAAAAATGTGAAGTTTTACGGATAGTCCCCATACCTGAAAGTGAAATAAAAAATCAAGTCGATAGACATAAAGACGATTTGTAGCACAAAATTTTCGTAAATATCCTGGTATTAGGAGACATGTTCTCCTGTGGGGGGTCTGACAATACATTTGATATGCAGATAATGAAAATCCTTGAATAATTTAAATTGTTCTGAAACATATTAAGGTTCCCAAGAAATTTATTAAATAAATCTTCGGCAGATCCTTATGTATATTAGAGCGATCATGGCGTACATGATTCATTTTTGTGTCTAGTGCAATTGGTGCACTAATATATCTGGCTAGAACCATGAGTATAACAATATGCTAGCAAGATATAGTTTTATTTCAATGTGGAGATATTGGAATACAATTAGTATTATATTTCAAAAGGAATACTTGATTTAGATTTGTTTATTCTAACAAATATCGCCAAGATTTTGTTGGTTATGCAAATGCAGGCATTTTCCTGAAGTTCGTTCTTTAAACATTCTATTTGCATGTGAGAGTACTGCCATATTATCATATTACAAGGCAGTTAATTGTCGATACTTATTCAAGTTATGCCAAGATAAGCAACTGATAAAGCAAGGGGCTCAACACACAACAAACATGTGACTTGACTTTGAAGAGAAGATTCCAATAATACTGAAGATAAAGTTGTTTGCTTATATCAATTGAAAGAAGGACTATCTACGGAGACAAAATAAAGCACATTCACCAAAGTTCTTCAACAAATTTGTTCAAGTGATAATTTGACAAACTTCTTCACAAGACATTGCGGATCTCAATATTAGAGAAGTTGTTATACAAGCTTGGAATTCGTCGTCTCCGAAGAATAAAGTGATGTTTTCATCAGGGGGAGGCAAATACGCGCTGTACTCTTTTTCCCTTAGCTAAGATTTTATCCCATTGGGTTTTTCTGGCAAGGTTTTTAATGAGGCAGCAAATAATGCGTATTACAAGATATGTGTACTCTTTTTCCTTCACTAAGATTTTTTCCCATAGGATTTTTTCTTAGTAAGGTTTTAACGAAGCACATTATCTATAGACATCCAAGGGGGAGTGTTATAAAATATTATTTTGTAGTGGATGTCTATAACTCCTAAAGAAGTTACTCCCACTACTCTTCTCCATTATGTAGATAACTCCCACTACTTCTCACCATTATAGTTGTAACTCCCACACCTCCATAACCTCCCCATGATCTTTCCCCATGATCTCAATAGTTAATACCATATTTACGATATCCCTTTGTATACCTCAATGTCATCCTATAAATAGAGGGCTTTGACATCACATTGTATACACTTGAATACATGGAATAAATAGATTCTCTCCTCTCTTTCTCTCTACATTTTTGTCTATCTTCTTGTTTTATATTATTACTTTGAGCTAATTTTCGTAACAAGAATGTAATTGCCAACTCTCAAGTCTCAATTACACCAATTCCCTACCAACCATGTAATCATTTGGTCAAATAATTAAACCATGTAATTACGTTATATTACACCAAAATTCAATTACTTTGCGTATTGAGCAAATGTATACACACACAGAGACTACATTGTATGCTTAATTATTTCACAAGGTAGTTAAAGTAGTTAACAGGTGGTTAGGAGTAGTTAGTGCTAGTAGTTAGTGGGCCAGCTCAATGCCAGCTAGATTAGATCTTCTCCTCTTCTTCTTTTTCATTTTTTGTTTATAAGCAAGCATTGTACAGATACACAAAGTAATTCAATTTTGCATAAATGAAGGAATTCATAGTTGCTTCCAGAATGTTCTCTCTCCGCTTCAATTCTCTCGTATGAGCTGAAGCTCATTTCAGTGGCCTCCTTCTAGTTTTGATATGGTATCAGAGCACATGCTCAGGCTCTCGATTTAATTCATCATCGAGCTCGTTCCTTCTTCGATCTGATTCTCTTCAATTTTGTCTCCTTTTTGCTCAATTTAGGGTTCTTCAGATCGCAATTTAATTTTTGGTTATTTCTCTGAAATTGAGCTCTCTGACAGCTGAATTCTCAATTGGAAACTAAATCTCATATCATCGACCACTTGAATCATGGCTGGAGAAGAAGAAGTGAGGGATTCGACTAATACTCCGTTGAGCTCAACCAGTCCACTCTACATGCATCCATCGGAGAATGCAGGAACTACTTTAGTGCTAGTTCCTTTTTGATGGTTCTGGATACAGATCGTGGAGAAGAGGTGTGTTAAGAGCTTTGTCTGTGAAGAATAAGGTAGGGTTCATTAATGAAAAATGTAAAAATCCAGATGCAAATGATGCACTCTTCGATCAGTGGGAACGGTGCGACGGCATGGTAACCTCGTGGATCCTGAACTCACTCTCTAAGAATTTAGCGGATAGCCTACAATATGTTAACGATGCAAAGGAACTCTGGAAAGAGCTAGAAGACTGGTATGATCAAACAAATGGAGCAAAGCTATATCAATTACAAAAGGAGGTTAGTGATTTAAGCCAAGGGACTTTCGATATTACTGGATATTACACGAAAATGAAAAAGCTGTGGGAAGAGTTGAACATGCTGAACGTTCATGCTCAGTGTAGTTATCAGTGTGTGTGTGGAGCTAAGGCCAATATGCAAAAGGCTGAACAAGACAGGAGGTTGATTCAATTCCTCATGGGACTAAATGAAGTCTATATAGTAGTGAGGGGTAGTATACTGATGATTAACCCCTTACCTAGCATAGAACAAGCCTTCTCCATTCTTATTCAGGAAGAAAAATAGAGAGAGGTCAAGTCCCAGAATCAAGTAATGATCGACTCTACTGCTCTCAATGTATACACCACAGGTGTGAACACTTTTAGGACAAATTGCAGCCAAAACTCTGCTGGAACTGGTGGCTTAAGAGGAAACTACAATCCTAACAGACCTAGGCCCTTTTGTGAGTATTGCAAGAGATCGGGACATACCAATGTTACAAACCACAATCCTAACAGACCTAGGCCCTTTTGTGAGTATTGCAAGAGACCGGGACATACCAATGTTACAAACTTCATGGGTACCCACAAGGCATGAATAGGACCAATTATAATTCACAAGGTTTCAATAAGTTCAACAAGGGAAAAGCAAATATTGCAGATGCATTTGGAGGACCAGGTGATAGAGTGAATACTGGAGAAAGGGAAGAAGGAATGTTGCAGGAGCGAGGTCGGAACTTGCACAATTTGAACAAGGAGCAGTACGGCCAATTGCTGAATCTACTGGAAAACTTTCAACCAAGAAATGCAGGAGAAAATTCCAGCAATGCAAACTTAGCTGGTGGAGCTGTTAACTTTGCAGGTACTGTGACTTGTTGCAATTCTGTTGAACATAGTGATCACTCATATGATTGTTTCGAACCAAATACTGATTCTTGGATCCTGGACTCCGGTGCCACAAACCACATGACCTTCAAAAGATCTTTGTTAACCAACACCAAAACCTTAGTTTATCCCTTCCCAGTGACTTTGCCAAATGGATAAAGTGAAGGTGACACTGGGGATGTTGTTCTTAGTCCCAAATTCACTTTAAGAAAAGTCCTTTTTGTACCAAGTTTCAAATATAACCTAATCTCTGTTCATTCCTTGACAATTCAGCTTGATTGTATAGTTGCATTTAACAAGTTTGCTTGCTTCATTCTGCAGGCCCCTTCAGTAAAGAGGCCTCTGGAGATTGGTAAAGCAATTGATGGTTTGTATTTTCAATTCTCAAAGCCTATGTCTAGTACTACTTGTGATTCTGTATCTTGCCTTTCCACTTCACATCACATACATGTAAATAGAGCACCTTCTCATTCCCAAACAGCTGTATATAGTTCAGAATTGAATAAAGGAAGTGGTCACTCTGTACTGAATGTGTTTGTTAATGGTGTTGATACTGTTGATTCCTTGTAGCACAATCGAATGGGATGTGTACCTTTTGTATAGATGAGAGGTATCTCAACCATACCAGTTAAATTTGCTCCAAAACAACCCTTCATGTGTCCCATATGCCCCATGGCTAGACAAACAAGACTGCCATTTCCTCTGAAAAGCTCAACCTCAACCAAACCTTTTGAGTTGTTACACATTGATTTGTGGGGCCCTTATCATGTAACTACTCATGATGGTCACAGATACTTCATAACCCTTGTAGATGATTATAGCAGATCTACCTAGATACATCTTCTAGGCAGCAAAAGTAATGCCCTATATGTGATCAAGGCCTTTTTACTATGGTAGAAAATCAATTTGGAACCTCAATCAAGTCCATAAGGACTGATAATGGACTGGAATTCACCCGTTCTGAAGCTACTTCATTTTTCCAATCAAAAGTTATCTACCAAAAGACTTGCCCCTACACACCCCAACAAAATGGGGTGGTAGAAAGAAAGCATAAATACTTACTTGAAACAGCCAGGGCATTACTTTTCCAGTCCAAATTGCCCCTAAAATATTGGGGAGAGTGTATACTCACCTCCACATACTTAATAAATAGATTGCCTTAATCCTCCATAAGCAACAAATGTCCCTATGAGTTACTATATAAGAAAAGCCTAACTATTCTCATCTCAGAAGCTTTTGGTTGTTTATGTTTCAGCACCACACTTAAAAACCACAAAGATAAATTTGAACCAAGAGCCACTCCTCATGTTTTTGTGGGATATCCATGTTCAAAAGGTTACAGAGTCTTAAGATTGGTCACAAGGAAGATACATGTTCCAAGAGATGTAGTTTTTCATGAGAATGTGTTCCCTTTCCATCTGTCTTTCAACTTCAATAACATATCCTGTCCTGGAAAGTTTCCTCCTGCACAAGGGGGACTTCTTAACGCTCCAGTTTTTCCTTATGGGTCTTCACACCACTCCATTGCAGTGTCACCTGAACCTCACCATAATGCAATGTCGCCTGGGCACTCACACAACCATACCCAATCATCACCTATATCCATGCACCAAAGTGACAACCTAGAAACGGAATCAGCTCCACATAGTCAGGACCAATTCTATGTTCCTGATCTCACCAGTTCTTCTGAGCACCAGAGTCCTAACTAGTGTAGACCTGCTAGACCACACAAGACACCTGCCTATCTAAAGGACTATGTATATTCAATCCCAAATCTCCAAACATGTCCATCTAACCAAAGTCAAGAAGCATAGTCTACATCTTTCACTGCCCTTTTGCCAAACAAACAACATTTTTCTTTCCATGCATTGACTCCTGAAAGTCAGCAGATGATAAGAAGCATTTCACATGAGTGTGAACCTTGTTCATATGAAGAAGCAGTCATCAATCCTGCCTGGAAAACAACAATGACTCAGGAATTCCATGCACTATACACAAATCATACATGGGACCTGGTTCCTCTTCCTGATGGAAAGAAGGCTATATGATGTAAATGGTTTATAAAAACAAGTATAAGGCAGATGGAAGCATTGAGAGATTCAAAGCCAAGTTGGTTGTCAAAGGCTACACTCAACAAGCTGGAATAGACTATACAGAAACTTTCTCACCAGTGGTAAAGATGACCACTGTGAGGGCCCTTATAGGGACAACAGTCAAGAAGGGCTGGAAAATGTTCCAACTAGATGTGAATAATGCTTTTCTTCATGGAGACCTACATGAGGAAGTCTATATAGAGGTGCCACCTGGTTTAGTCATAGAGAAACCAGGCTTAGTGTGCAAACTGAACAAATCTCTATATTGTTTAAAGCAAGCTAGTAGACAGTGGTACGGAAAACTTGCAGAAGCACTGTGTTCTAAGGGCTATACTCACTCATTATTGGACTATTCCTTATTTCATAAGAAGAAGGACAACACAGTGGTATTTGTGGCAGTATATGTAGATGATGTCATACTCACAAGAAATGATCTTGATGAGATCAATTCTCTGAAGAAGTTCCTGGATCAGACCTTCAAAATCAAAGACTTGGGAATTTTGCACTATTTCTTAGGGCTGGAAGTGTTATATAAAGAGAATGGGGTGTTGATCTCTCAGAGAAAGTTCACTATGGAGCTACTGATGGAGTATGACTGCTTGCAACAATCTTCACTACCATCTCCTCTTGATCCTTCACTCAAGTTGAAAGCTGATCAAGGTGTTCTGTTAGAGGATCCCACTCAATACAGAAAATTAGTGGGGAAGCTGAATTTTCTCACCAACACCAGGCCTGATATAGCCTTCAGTGTGCAACATCTTAGCCAATATATGCAGAGTCCCTGAGGTACTCACTTAAAGGCTGCATATCATGTGTTAAGGTACTTGAAAGGTGATCCAAACCTGGGGATATTTCTCTCTAACAACACAGATTACAAAATCAGTACCTTTTGTGATTCAGATTGGGCTTCTTGCTCAGAGTCTAGAAAATCTGTTAGTGGTGACCTAATACTACTTGGTGGAAGCCCAGTTAGTTGGAAGTCAAAGAAGCAGTCCACCATAGCCTTGTCCTCAGCTGAAGCAGAGAACATGTCAGTTAGAGCAGTGGTTGGTCAGACTGTTTGAAGAGTTATCAGTCCCATTGTCTCTCCCAATTCCAGTCTTTTGTGACAGTCGGGCAGCCCTACACATAGCCAAGAATCCAGTTTTTCATGAACGTACCAAGCATATAGAAGTCGACTGTCATTTTGTACGAGACAAACTTCAGGAAGGACTGCTCTCATTGCAATATATTCCTACATCTAATCAGCTGGCTGATATATTCACCAAAACCCTCACAGGGATCAAGCATTCCACTTTACTTGACAAGTTGGGCGTGAGTTCCTCCCTTCCAACTTGAGGGGGGGTATTGAGCAAATGTATACACACATACACACACACAGTGATACACACACACACAGTACATTGTATGCTTAATTATTTCACAAGGTAGTTAAAGTAGTTAGCAGGTGGTTAGGAGTAGTTAGCGGATCAGTTAGTAGTTAGAGTTAGTAGTTAGAGGGCCAGCTCAATGCCAGCTAGATTAGATCTTCTCCTCTTCTTCTTTTTCATTTTTTGCTTATAAGTAAGCATTGTACAGGTACACAAAGTAATTCAATTTTGCAGAAATGAAGGAATTCATAGTTGCTTCCAGAATGTTCTCTCTCAGCTTCAATTCTCTCGTATGAGCTGGAGCTCATTTCAATGGCCTCCTTCTAGTTTTGATATTGCGGCTTTTCAAGCATGCTCTAAGAGTTAGACTCAAATTTCAAATGATATAGGTAAATGAGTATGAGTGGAGCTCAAATCCTAGTAAAAGTTTGTTGAGAAGATGCGCGAATGTGAATATGCAACAATTCAGTTAAAAGCTCTCCGAGCCAGAAAGTATTAAGAGTAATCAGAGTTGGTCGTCATGCAAACTGATGTAGGCTAGCTGCTGGCTACATCAATTTTACAAGGGCCAAATACCATTGATTAATAGGCAACAAATATGCGATAGTTCAACTACAAAATACGGTACGGTGCTAAACACAAATAAATTGGAGTCCGTTACTCACGTTGTTATCACTTAACTATTCAAAATTACCTAATAATATCATATTTAGTTTGTATATAACAGAAAAGTTTCTTAATTATGTTTGTAACACCGAGAAGGTCACTCAACCAAAATTGTCAAACTTCCGATGACCAAAAATCTATTTTACCCTCTAAAATATTAATCTTTGTCACTTTTTTTTTAATTGTTATGACATAAAAAAAAAAGTGAAAAAGAATTTTCAAGCATATAAAGTATTGTATTAATAAAATAATTAAGTCAAAAATTTCCTTAGAATCATTTATTTGTATCATTAATTTTGACAATAATAATAAAAACTCAAAAAAATTATTTACAGAACTGAGAATAAGAGAGAATATAGTTTTAAAAACATATACTTCATGTATGTAATATAAAAATAATTATTTAAAATAGAGGTATATATATTTTATAATACAATTATATATGGTTGGAAACGGTGCTCGTTATTCCAAATTAATGGTTAACTATCGACACAAAAATACAATGATCTAAGATTTTGGGGTACAGAAACTTTTTGACAGGACTGTTATATGAGCTGTTACTGAGATCATATGGGTAAATCATCTGAAAAACAAGTAAAAGTTTAACAAAAGAAATTATGCACACAAAGACAAAAGGAGATAAAAGGAGTCCTTTTGGATGGAGGGGCTATGCCCTATGTATTTAAATTCATAACTAGCTTTTGTACCTGTTTGAGTATAAATAAAATTTGGATCTGAACACAAAATCACCATAAAATTTCAACTATTATTTTAATTTGACTCATTCCAAATCTTAAATATTCCCTCTATTCTAAGGGTCATTAATTTATCTTTATTTGTATATACAACTATTGTTAGCTAGATTTCAGGATAGAAAATGCTCTGATAATGCTATAGTATTGCAACCAGATCAAAGTTTGTTATCGAGAAAATCAAACTCCAACATATTCAAATGGTTTAGGAAATTAACGACATCGAATAGAGCTCAAATTCTTTCTTGTTGAAATGAGTTGCGTGATGCAATTATTAAGTTAGAAAGCTCACTGAGGTTAGCAGTTTGTCCCTATATGTATATGCAAATTGCTGTTATCATTCGGTATAGTTGTTGCATATCAATCTTTCGCAAAGTCCAAATACCTAGAGCTAATTAAGTAAGAATTTTGTAATTGCAAAATGTGTGGCTAAACACAAAAAAGCTGTGTATCAAAACTTAGTGTAACAATTTTGTAATTACAAAATGTGTGGCTAAACACAAAAAAACTGTGTATCAAAACGTTGTATTAGGTTGTTCATGCAGAAGGGTCTTAATTTTTGGATACATTCCTGTTTCATGCTTTCCTTAATAATTATAAATAGGAGCCTACGCTTCCTTCCTGGAACAACATACAATAAGTCAGCTAATACTTTTCTTTTGGACAACCAGTCATTTAAAGAAGGAATTAATATGGCAGCGATGAAGTTCATTGTTTCCCTTGTTCTGCTAGCAATTGTGCTTCAAAGCCGAGTGATTGAATGTCAGGGACAAATGACTTGCTCTGTATCACTTAATAACCTGAACGTGTGTGCGCCATTCGTGGTTCCAGGGACAACCAACCCGACCCCTAGTGCCGACTGTTGTTCTGCACTCCAGTCAGTGGACCATGAGTGCCTCTGCAACACTCTCCGCATCTCTGCCCGCCTTCCAGCTCAATGCAACCTTCCTCCCCTCTCTTGTGCTGGTCAGTAATATGAAATTAACAATATCAATTTTTTGAGCTTTACTTTTATAGTGTAAAAGAATTTTTATAGTATTATGCCACTTAAAAATACCTACAGGTAACCGTCCATTAAGAATAGTATAAAAATTCTTTACAATTCCATGTATATAAATCATACTAAGTTCTTAGGTGAGTAATAAACATTCTTACTGCTTACTGAATTTTATTTTTTGTTGCAGCAAACTGAGTTGTATGTTGACGACGCCAACAACCACAGCTATTAAGCGAATAATGTCCAGAGTTCTATGGCAATAAATTATATGCGCCCCCTTTCTCTTTTGTTTGCTTTGTTCTTTGGGGAGATGTTTTGTGTCCTCTGATTTGCAAGTTAGTCATCTGATGTAATATAGGTCAGACAAGAGTCCGCTGTGTGTTGTGTGAAATCAATAAGACAAAGATGTTAAGTTTGATATTTGGAGCTCGTTTCTAAATTTGCGGGGTTAGGAAGGGTTATCCGATCCAAGTTTCTCATAAAATCTGATATGTCTAGCTAATCACAACAAAATTATGCCTTCGGTTTCATATGTTAAACTAAACATGATATATTACATATGATAGCTCTGTTTATTCTAAAATCCGAGTAACAATTAAACTTGTTTTGTGGTCTTAAAGATACGTGATTTAGTCCAATACTAACTAATAACCGAGAAACCAAACGTATAAATTAAAGAAGTAAGTTGAATCAAACAAGTTCTTAAGCAAGTCTTGACCTCGAGCTTTGATGGCTGTCGACGCCCCCTTTTTCCTCGCGGAATCGGGTTCACGACATTTGGGGAGACAACTCTTATCCCACTTTGGGAATTGGGTTTTTTGAGAGTTTGGAGAGTCGCCACCTAACGATTATAGTGCATTAGGACACTTTTAGAAGAATTAAAGATGCAGACCAGAGTTTTGGGTAAGGGCTTGAAATTATCTCGAGGGTAAGGTCTTAGGCACCCTCAAGATCCACTAGTGTGGTTCCCGGCCATGCTACAATTGTGACTTTAGATGTAAAAAATAAACAAGTACAAGAAGCACAAAAGGTTAAAAGAAGTGCTGAATTTTAAAGGAGCAATTTTGTAAAAAACGTGCAAGTGGAGAAAGAGGTCAAGTACTTAGTGCAGATAATCCGAAAAGATCATGCGAGAAGCAGGAATTGAAAGTGCAATAGCTTTAAAGATTCAGAAAATTTTATTAAACTAATAAAGAAGGAGAAATGGGTCCTAGGTTTATACATTACATGGATCATTCGCACAATACTGGTACTCAATTGTACGCGGAGTGTTAACGTGTAATCATCATCTCCATGTCTACCCTTCCCACCCTGTTAAGGTATTAAAGCGCGGAACGGTATCGTTTACTTATCGCATGCTACTACCCGTCCCAATCTTATTAGTCCCGGGGTATTAGGACTTCTAATCCTAAAGGGGATGAAAGGGATGGGGGCCTTTGTGGAGTTTAAAGGATAAAATTCTAGCTCGACATTCAAAACAAGTATCAAGTAAAAGGGGAGGACAAGCAAGCATACAAGGCTCAAATTAACCCCAGAAGTCAAACAATCATTTAGTTTAGCATGCCTTGACAAATACTGATTTGGTCTTAGGTTAAATTAAGCAGCGAGCGGACTGGTTCAACACATGTATTTAAATAGAGAGTCTGCATTAGGCAACTCAGATACAGTTGTCAGGGACTGACCCAATTCATTAATTAGCCAACCCTTGTTTATGAGTTGAAATAAAAAAACCTAGGCGTAGGATCTATTAATTTCAGGAAAAAGATGCAAAGAGGTACCAGTAGTTTCAGAAAAGATGCAAGTTGATTTTAGAAAAAAGAATTATCAGTTTAAACAAAGAGAAAAGATGCAAACCGATTTTTAGAAAAGAGGTACCAGTTATTTCAGAAAAGATGTAGACTGATTAAAAGGTTTACGAGTTTCGGGGGAGTGCAGATTGGCTATAGGAAAAAGGTTTACCAATTTTAGCGGGCTTCAGAAGTAGAAAATTACTAGTTTTAATAAAGACACTAGTTCCAGCAATCGATACTGTTTAAGAATGAATGATGCTATTAAAGACAAGGTTTCCTATAGGCATGCTTTCTATATGTTTACTGATTTTAACACCCTTTCCTGATATCAATAAGAGTCTTACACACATGATGTCTATATGCAACTTTGTCATTAAGCCTATAAACGGTTTGCCTAATGACATTTATATATGCAGAAATGCAAGAGCCTATAGACATGATCTCTATATGTGTCATTACAGAACATGAATGTTAAATCCTATAGACATGCTTTCTAGGTGATTTTTGCGGTAAAGTTAAGCGTTAAATCCTATAGGCATGGTCTCTATGTGATTGAAATCAGTATTAAAGACCCTATAGGCAGGATTTCTAGTTTGAATAAAATCCTAATTCATGATTTCTACCCCTTGGATACAAGAAAAGTAAAGACCCCTCCCACACCCTTTTACTATACTCCCCGAGTTTCATACAAAATTATTACAACCCAATGAATCAAACTGGAAATTAAAGGATACATCAAAAACTAACAGCTAGATCCGAGTAGCCTAATTCAACCTTAATGTCTAATAACATGCGATTGAGCCACTTCCGGGATCCAGATTTCCAAAGCCTTCTCTTTATCCAAGGTGCTTCAAAGTTCCAAGGAATCTCAGGGATTCCAGGCATTGCTTACACCCAAGATACTACCAGAATTAGAATAGTGCAGTGTGGAAGAGCTGGCTCTCATGCATCCAAGTTCAGAGGGAGCTCGGGGGTCCCAAAGCATGGCTTGCAAGATAGGGGCAGAACTTATAGCTAAGAGTAAGTGCAAAGTGAAAGGGAATTGGGGGGCCATGACAAATGGTGGTCATACCTAGCTACAAAGTAGGCTGGCACACCCCTGACCACCTGCTTGGTCAAACACATTAAGAGCAGACCCTTGAAGGTCAGACCAGAGTCTTGACAGTGATTAGGACACTGCCAGACCCAAGTCTAAAGCTCAACAACACATAACGGGGGAAAGGGAATGGGAATTGATTGAGTTTGGGATTCAAAGAATCCAATCCAGAATCATGGACAACAATATTAGAGTGTTGTCATGCCCCGAACCATAACTCACTTATAAAGGGGTATGAGGGTTTGGGATTCATAATATCAAATTCATGACAAACAACTGACAGGATGCATACATAATTTAAATACTGAATTACAAAGGAAGGGGGGGGGGGGGAACATGTTACAATATGCTAGAAACAAATATCAACTAAAAGAATTGGACAGAAGTGGGCAGAAGTAAACACATTGTGGTGGAGACATGTAAACTAACTGAGACATACCAGTAGAGAAGCAAAAGAGCGCATGAGAAAGTAGAGTAAACAAAGTCCACAGCAGCACAAGTAAAAGAGAGAGAGAATTTTAAGTGAGAGTGACTTGTGGACTCCGATTCGGTCTGTGTTCGTGTGTTCAAAGAAAAGGGAGGAGATATTTATAGCTTTGAAAACGTGTAGAGAAATAAGGTAACAAGTACAAATCTAACACAAATATGGCATGGTCACAAATCAGAATCAATTAGTATAAGACTCCCCTTTAATCAGGAAATTCTTATTCAAACGGATACTAACCGTATCCAAATAAGGAAAGAAGAACCAGCCTTGCAAGCAGAATGGCTGTTGCCATAAAAGAAATAGTAAAGTCATACAATAGGCAATTAAGTCTAAGTACAGGATTTGAAATTATTTTTGGAAAGATTCAGTGGGGCCAATCAAAGGAAAAGGAATCAATTAGACTTTGACAGGCCAGTAAAATCAGGATCTCAAGGAAGGAAAAGTTTTTTGAAATCAATTTCGAGTTAAATAAATCACAGGAGGTACTCAGTATATAATGCATGCACAAATAGCAGGCATGTGAGGCTAAGTTATGGCAAAAGAAACATCATGCAGCAATAGCATAGAGCAGACATTCAAAGCATGTTAGTTAGGCTTCAAGGAGTAATAGAGAGAGAAGGAGTCGAAAACATGCAGAGAGTCGAGTGAGAATCACAAGCGTAGAACATATAGAGAAAAAAAATGTTAAAACAAGGCATCAAGTTGAATAATTTCAAACATACAAGCATGCACAAACAACCTCACAGGACTTTGAATAGCCTCCCAAAGAGACTGGGGTTTTCAAATCAGTTGAGTTTAGAGACGACAAACAGGTGAAACAACAAGCAATTTCAGAGTCCCAAGTGAAACCCTTAAAAATTAGGGTTTTCAGTAAACCAAACAGATAGGCTCATGAACTCGAATAAATTCCCAAAATTAGGGTTTTTAACATCAAACAAACCTAGAGATGATCAGCGTATGAATCGAATGAAACCTTTAACATACAGACTCAAACAATCACAAAATTAGGGTTTTCAACATGCTTACTCAGATAAGGAAACAAACAAACTAAGTCAGAAACATGCCAAGAATAAGAGAGGAACTTCGAAATAACTTAACCTAAAACCATAGTTAAAAGAACATAGAGTTTTGAAAGCAAAAAATTGGGGAAACTTTGAGAAACATGCTCATAACGTTCAAACACATATAGATCTTGGAGCAGATCTAAGAAATAAATAGAAGAAACCTTAGAGCTAGGGTTTCATAAGAAACCCAGGCGATGAGAAAGGCTTTGGAAACTCCAGATCTAGGCAGGATAGCCGAAGATCGAGCTCGAATGGCCATGGCTGGCCGGACAGAGGTTGAAGGCGACCGGAGAACAGCCATCGAGCAACGGCTTGGTCGAGACCCCTTCAAGATCTGGTCATAGGACCTCAGAGATGAGCGCATAGAAGCCATGGGAGGCTGGTATAGGCCTCCGATGATTCTGGGAAGCCATGGATTAGGGTTTCGGTGAGAGGCGGCGGCTAGGGTTTGAGGTGAGTTGAGAGAGAGTTGAGAAAAAAGGAGGATTCATAGGCGGCGTATTGTGAGGAATGGGGTAGGGTTTGGGGTCGTTTGAAATTAAAAAAGGAAAGGGGAGGTCTGGGCCGTTGATCAAAAATGATCAACGATTCAGATTAAAAGAAAGCGGGCGGGTTTGATTTAATGGGTACTGGGTCAGGTTGATTGGGTAATTGGGCTGGGGTGATTTGGGCTCAAATTGGGACTGAATTGGGTTATCAATTTGGCTATAATTGAAATGCATTGGGGCTAAATTGTAAATAGCCAATTTTCCCTTATTAATTTTTTATAAAATAGTAACACAATTTTAAAAGCAAATTAAGAGTACTGGGTAAATAAATATTGTATAAATATTAATTTAAAATGCTGGGATTAATTTCATAATATAAAATGCTAAAAATTACAAGATAGGCTATGATTGCAATTATATGCAATTTAGCTTTAAAAATGCCAAATGAAT